TGGACTATAAAGAAGGCTGAGCACCAAAGAATTGATACTTTTGAACTATGGTGTTGGAAAAGACTCTTGAGAGTCCCTTGGACTGCAAAGAGATCAAACCAGTCATTCCTCAAGGAAATCAGTCCTGAATATTCACTAGAAGGACTGATGCTGAAGCCGAAACTCCAATGCTTTGGCCACCTAATGTGAAGAACTGACTCACTGGAAAAGACCGTGATGCTGGGAAAGATTGAAGGTGGGAGGAGAAGGGGACAGCAGAGGACGAGATGGTTGGACGACATCACCCACTCGATGGAGATGAGTTTGAGTGAACTCCGGGAGTTGGTGATGGACAGGGAGACCTGGCGTGCTGCAGTCCATGGGGTCGCAGAGTCGGACACGACTGAGCGACTGAACTGAATTGAAATGATGTATATCATGTTTGTTCTGACTTGTGTATTATAATAAATATTTTTTACTCATATATGTATGTAAAATAGAGACTGAAATTTAATAGTTTATTACGCTTTCAAAATAGACCAAAGTCACTGTTCAACAGTTTTGCTATTTTATGCTTAAAAAAACAGCTGGTATTTTTTAATATTTTTTATATTTTGTTTATATTTAACCACTTAATAAGTATAATGTTTTTACCAGAGTAGTTTTTAACACTGTTTTTTTAATTCCTGTAAATAAAGCTATTTAAAGTTTGACCAGATGGGTGAAATTTATGGATCAGAGGAAAATCATTCTAGAGGGAAATTTGCATGATAGTTTTCTTCAGTGGTAGCAGTAATACTTTTTTTAAAAACCAATTCTCCATGTGGCTAAAAAAACATTAAGTACTCTGTGCTTATGAAGAAAACCCATTTGAATTTCTTTAGCAATTAAAGGCACCAAGGTAGGCAGCCGTGTCCAGTGAGGTGGTGGGGTGCTGGGCTGTGAGGGCCGCTCATCTGATCTCCTAACTATGGTGCTCACTAATTTCAGACGCACTCAGCAGTTCTCAAACTCTTTCATTTTGAAAAATCACGTGTTTAACTTATTTTATGATATATTAAAGGAGGGCATGGCAACCCACTTCAGTATTCTTGCCTGGAGAATTCCATGGACAGACGAGCCTGGCAGGATACAGTCCATGGTGTCGCAAAGAGCCAGACACGACTGAAGTGACTTAGCACAGCACATGGTATATTAATGGAGATTAAAGCACCATTCTCTGAGACTGGACTTCTAAGTTTGGAATTTACATTTTAGTTCAGCTACTTAGTATATGGACTTGGGTAAACTAATTTTCTGGTCTTTAGTTTCTTGTCTTTAAATTGGGGATACTTATCAGTATTATAAGGATCAAATGAATTAATACATGTAAAATCCTTAGAATAGTGCCTGGTGCATGGTGAATGCTAAGTAAATGTTGGCCATTGTTACCTTTGTTGTCATTTTTATCATCAAACACCAAGCACAGAGCCTGGTGGTATTCCCTTGTGACACTCGAGGTAAAGAATCTGCCTGTCAATGCAGGAGATATCGGAAGAGACAAGGGTTTGGTCCCTGGCCCGGGAGGGTCCCCTGGAGGAGGGCATGGCAACCCCCTCCAGTGTTCTTGCCTGGAGAGTCCCATGGACAGAGGAGCCTGGCCGGCTACAGTCCATGGGGTCGCAAATCATCAGACGCAACCAAAACACTTAGCCCCCACACACACGGCCTGGTACCAAAATAAGCTCTCAGAATCATATTGGGAATTCTAATTTTTGAAAAATAAATCTATTCACCTCCACACCTGTCCAAAAGATCAGTGCAGATGTGTGCATATAATTATAAATAGGAACAATTCTCTGTTAAGTCCTCAACAGCCTTTTACTAGTCAGTCTCATTTCTGAACATATAAAATACAATTTTCAATTATTAAAAAAAACAGTGGGTATATTAATTCTTTTAAAAAAGATACAATTACTCAAACAAGTTTAATTCATTCCGGAGTTATCTGAATAGGCCGTACATACTAAGTATTTTAGAAGCAAATCATCTATTGGTGGCTTTTTTTTTTTAAATTCATGTATGTATGTTTGGTTCATTTATGTTTTGTTTTGATTATAGATACACAAAAGCAAGAATCCACTTTGGGTGGTGGGACAAACAGGCATTGCTTCTATGGACTTCAGCCTGATTCAGAATATAAAATCAGTGTCTACACAAAGCTCCAGGAGATGGAGGGACCCAGCGTGAGCATAACGGGAAAAACACGTAAGTCAAAGGTGTTCTGTCTTGATCTCTGTATCCATGAACAAATGGTATTTTAGGAATATGGTTTTGGTTCAGAAACCTTATTGCATCTAGAAAAACATTAGTCATTGTGCCCTGGAATATCTGTAATACAAACGTTGCTCTTTGTACCCACTGCCTGTGGCCCGCTGATGGCGTCTGTGTGGATTTCCCAGTCCTCCGCCCGCTGTCACAGGGGACTGTAAGGCCGTAGGACGGCAAAGTGCTTGAAACAATGGCCCCTATTGTGATGCTTCTATTGGGAACATCTGTGGTGGTGGAGTGTGCGATGAAGTGTGAGGCCTGGGTCCTGACACTGAAACAACGCTCAGTGCTCCAGCCTCGAGGGTGGGAGTGGAGCCAGGACGTGCCAGCTGGCCGACCCCGGCCTTGCCTCCTGAAGAGGCTCTGACGCTTTTTCCAAGTTGGCAGGAAATCTGACGCGCTGAAGGGAAATGCAAAGTACAAAAAGAAAGCAAAGCACTTTCTACGTATTCTAAAGAGCAGGAAGGTGTCAGCTGCTCGGTATCCTTTTAATCAGATTCCTGACCTAGAAGCCATAAGCATTAAAATGGCTTGAACGGGACTGAATTCTGGGAGACGCCCGTGGGTCCCCAACTCCGTGTCTTGAACTTAAACTCGGAATCCTCAAGGACTGGCGTCTGAAGAGGTGGCCGATGAGGGCTTTCTTGATAGTCCCTCCATCCTGTATCTGACATTTAGAAAGTTATACTACTCAGGTGTACAGGTCTTTCAGTTTCTCTGAACGTGCAGAAAAAATCACTATCAATATATAATCTTCAAACACAGAAAGCCAAAGTGTAGCTAGTGGAATCATCTACTTTCCAACACCAGGACTTTATTTCAGAACCCTGAAATAGTCAACATTTTACATCACATGTGTATTTTTGAGGTATAATTTGCATTCCATAAAATTCACCCATTTTAAGTGTACAGCTCAGTGATTTTTGGTGCATTTCAAGAGTTGGGCAGCCATCACTGCCGTTCAGTGTCAGGACGCTCCCATCCACCTGGAGATCATTCAGGCTCATCCGCAGTGCGTCCGCTTTCCTGCTGTCAGCTCCAGACAGTCTGCTTTCTTTTCTTAGACTTTTGTCTTTTCTAGACACTTCGTAAAAATGGAAGTATGTGACAGGTAGTCTTTTGTGTCTGATCTTTCACTTAGCGTATGTTTTTGAGGTTTATCCACGTTGGAGAATGTAGCAGTCATTTCTTGCATTTTATTGCTCATTAGAATTTGTGTTTTGAAAAAAAAAAAGATTTTGTTTTTTGGGTAGAGGATTATATAGTTTTGAAATTATTAGGGGCCTGTTAGGGCTTAAGATTTAAAGTCTAAAAAGCTTGATTGGGGTCCTTTTTCCATTGTTGCCTTGGGCAGTTTAACGTCTCTGAGCTGCTGTCTGCTTATCAATAAAATTAAATACTGTCTCTTTTAGCTTAGTTTGGTGATGGTAAAGATCCACTGGAAAGACCCCACTGAGGACTTTGCAACTGCATTTTATTTTATTGAACAAATATTTTTGGTATCACTCTTACATCTTCCCTTTAAATAAAAAATTTTCAGGCCGCACCGTGCAGCGTGCAGGACCTGAGTTCCCCAGCAAGGGGTGAACTTGTGCCCCTGCAGTGGGAGCGGGGTCTCAACTCTGGGCCCTCAGGGAAGCCCCTCGCGCTGTCTTCCTGAAAGTGAGAAAGAAGCTGCAGCCATGGGGTTAGAGCTGACTCAGACATGTTTCCTCTGGGCCGTTTTTTTTTTTTTAAGTTTTAAAGTATTCTGGAAAATTGGAAAGCTCTGACAGCACAGTGCGTGCGCACCCTCATGCAGCTAAACGTATAGAAGCCTAGTGACTGCCGTGTCTTTGGACAGTGTGCACGCTCTGAAGTTTGTTATTCCTGAATGTTGAGGCAGAGTTCTTTGCTCCCATTCATTATGTGCCTGACCTCTAAAAATATTTGAGTTTGGGGCCCCTGGTCGAGTTCAACTTCCCTTAACCTTAACCTCACCACTGTTAACGACCAGTCCAGGATTCATTTGCAAAGCTCTGCTTGATGTAAATGTTCTCCTTCTGTGGGGACATCTGTCATCATAGAGCTTCTCCCCACTGGCTCCAGTTCAACCTCCCAGAGCAAATGCAGATCAAGGCTGTTCCCTCTTCTGTGACAGCTTCTCCCAGACGTGAGGACAAGGACCATCTGTGTGTGGAGGATAGAAACGCTCTCCCAGTTCATCGTGGTTCTTCTTACCCGAGAGGTTCTGGGGCCAGATGTTCTGACCAAACATATTGATCTGGCTGCCACAGGCGCTCATTGGTTTGGTTCTGGAATTTGTGATACTGTACTTGTGATATGTCTCAGCTTTTCACATTAAAGAAAATGCACAATTATAAAGACGACCAGCTGCTTCCACAGATTTTAGACTTTAGAAACATTTTATAGTGCTTTCAAAAATGTTTTGCAATCCTAGTTTTATACTAAAATGTCTCAAATGTTTCTACTTGTGAAAATTTTTAGTTGCCAAAAAATTGCCTTTAAAAAATCAAAGTGATTTTCTCTATAATGATGCAACAGAAAGTGTGAAGTGTGTAGTCACCTTCCTTCTTTGGCCATCCTCTTCTTGTTTTGTTATCCTTTTGTGTTTCGGCCATGCTGTGTGCCATGTGACGTGGTTTCCTGACCAGGGATCAAACCTGGGCCTCTTCAGTGACAGCGCCAAATCCTCACCACTAGGCCACCAGGGAACGCCCCCCTTTTCTCATTTTTCTTCCCCCCAAAACTCATTTATACCAGCTTGATCTCTTTCAATAAATTCTGCCTGTTGTATGTAGTTATGTATGTGTGTGTCAGATATATTACTGTATAGATATATATAGATAAACCTGTATTAATCAGTTAAATAGAATTCTTTGTTTCACAGATGGGATCATACCATTATATTCTGCTTCATTTCATATAATAACTAATCTCAAACATTTTTCTGTATCAATAATACAGTTACCTCATCCCTTTAAATGTTGAATTGCTTTACTCAAATAATGTTAGTTTATTGGTTCCTGGAATTGGAAGAGACCTTAAAATTCACTTCCTCCAACCCCCCTGCCGGTGAAGGTGTTCCCTTTGCAACATTCACAGCAAACAGTCTGCCTGAGCTCAAATCCTTCCAACTATTTGGCGCTTACTGTCTCCAGAGGCTAAACATCCCCCTGTGTGAAAGGCTGTGATTAGTTGAGAGTTTTCCCTTGGATTATGCTGGGATAAGAAAAATAATATTGTCAAGTTTTCTTTAGTGTAAAATAAGAATTTAAAAAAAGAATATGCAAAAAAATAATATTGGGATGTTTAATGCACTTAATGATGCCATAACTTGCTGGTACTTTGCATGTGAATTGGTGGGAAAGTCACAGCTCTTATGTGACTATATCCATGGCCATTAACCAAACCACACTTCCATGCTTGACACAGTTCTCACCCCTCCTCACCCAGGTTAAGCTGATCAGGACACGCTGCAGCCTCCCAATGTCCTGCTATTTGGTTCTCAGAACTGAGTTTCCCAGGCACAGTCTGACCGTGGCCGAGGGTGAATCAGGCTCTCTTGGGGACCACGTCCTGAGAATTCAGGGTAAAAAGGGAGGAAGTGCTATTGAACATGGATTGATGGTCCATCCTTAGGCAGAATGGAGTTACTTTATGTGTGAAAGCAGCCAGAGACTAATCTGAAATAGGTTGGCAGGGTTCCTGCCTTAAATCAGCATTGAAACCACTTTGAAGTTGACAGTTTGATTGCACTGACTCCCTCTGGGTAAACTGAAGTGTGGCAAATGGCATTTCAAGCCTTCAGTCTGAGGTTGAGGAGATGGTTGGAACCAGCTTTCATGGGCTTTGGCTGATTTAGAGTGGGCCCTAAATTCACTGAGTTCTCAGAAAAGACAGCTGTCAGAATCATTGACTCCCCAGAAGAGTTACGACTCCGAGACCTCCCTCTCTTCCCAGAGAAGACGGTTAACTGATGCTTGTTCTCTCCTTTTCAGAATCGCCTCCTACTCAACCACCAACATTCCCTCCAACAATCCCACCAGCAAAAGAAGGTAAAATACAATGTGATCATGATGTGATCTTGGGTTTTGGATTTCTGTTGGACTTGTTTCTTCATTTAAAAGCCAAGGTATTAATAAAAGGTAGTTTCTTCTTAATACAAGTGCTTGTATCAGACCCTTAGAGGGTACAGATTTGCAATGAGTGGTAAGTAAGACAGAAGTCTAATGTGCAGTGTAATGAATGTAGGCAACAGTATTGTACTATAATTATGTGCTGAGATAGAGGTGCTATATATTACTACATCAACCAAATTACAATATATAAATGTAAATTAATATACATTATATACAATGTAAATTATATACACAAATGTAAATTAGAAATATAAATCAAATTAATATATTTTGCACTTTAAATTTTTGCAGTGTCATATGTCAAATATATCAATAAAAAACCATCTAAAAGTAGAATCTGCACACACAGAGTAGATTTTCAAACAAAATTCTTTCATAGTTGTTTCGTTGAAGATATCAGAATGGTACATGTTCGCCAAGGAAGAGTAGTTGTGTAGTCTGGGAGTGCAGGGTGTGGTTGTGTAGTTGTGTAGGGTATGGTTGTGTAGTTGTGTAGGGTATGGTTGTGTAGTTGTGTAGGTTATGGTTGTGTAGTTGTGTAGGTTATATATAATTGTGTAGTTGTGTAGGGTATGGTTGTGTAGTTGTGTAGGGTATATATAATTGTGTAGTTGTGTAGGGTACGGTTGTGTAGTTGTGTAGGGTATGGTTGTATAGTTGTGTAGGGTATGATTGTGTAGTTGTGTAGGTTATATATAATTGTGTAGTTGTGTAGGGTACGGTTGTGTAGTTGTGTAGGGTACAGTTGTGTAGTTGTGTACATTCTGACTCTGTGGACAAGGGTCACAGTGTTCCTGCTAACCGCAGAAATGCTGCTCCCTATTGTGTTTTTCTGTCTGCAGCACAAAAGTTTATCTTCACTTCTTACTTGATCAGTTAAGGTAACTGTCTAAAAAACTTCCAAATGTAGCAATGATGGTTATTTTTTTTTCCCATTAATGGACATTAATTAACCCTGCTATTCATTCTCAAAGCTCCTATGCCAAGTACTTGGGATACCATAACAATCTATGATTGCTGCTCTCTGCTTATTTTCAGTACTGCAAGAGAAATAGGTGTTTACCTAGGTAATTACCAGCCCAGAAGTGAGTTAGTGTAGGTTATACCATAGTAGCCCAGAACTGAGAACAGTTAACGCTGCTGCAATTTAATTACTTGTGAAGGAGGAAGAGTAATTTGATTAACATTTTCCTGTAATTGAATTCTAATTCCTGGGTCGGAAGATTCCCTGGAGAAGGAAATAGCAACCCACTCCAGTATTCTTTCTTGGAAAATCCCATGGTCAGAGGAGACTGGCAGGCTACAGTCCATGGGATTGCAAGAGTCGGACATGGTTGAGCAACTAAACCACCACCACCCATCGTATTGTGGTCTGAAAAGATGCTTGATATGATTTCAATTTTCTCAAATTTACCAAGACTTGATTTATGACCCAAGACATCATCTATTCTGAAGGATATTCCACATGCGCTAGAAAGGGGAGTGTATTCTGCTGCTTTTGGTTGGAATGTCCTGTAAATATCAATTAAGCCTGTCTGGTCGCATATATCATTTAATTTTGTGTTTCCTTATCAACTTTCTGTCTGGATGATCTGCCCATGTGTCAGTGGAGTGTTAAAGTCCCCATGATTACTGTGTTACTGTTGATATCCCGTTTTATGGCTGTTAGTGTTTGCTTTATACGTTGAGGTGCTCCTGTGTTGGGTGCACAGATATTTACAATTGTTATGTCCTCTTCTTGGATAGATTCTCTGAGCATCACATAGTATTCTTCCCCATCTCTTGTAACAGTCTTTGTTTTAAAGTCTATTTTGTCTGATATGAGTATTGCTACTCCAACTTCCTTTTGATTTTCATTTACATGGATTGATTTACATTTTGAAGAGTGAGTTTTACAGGTAAATAATGGAGAGATGAGCACTTAACGTTGTGGAGGGATCTAAGTGCATAATGTGTTTGGGGAACCATAAGTACTTTAGTATGACCCGTAGAAAAGAGTGAAGGTAGTGTTATGAAATGGTTAGTGTGTCTGAGTAGGGAGGCTGGGCTTTATCCTATGGGACATGGCATTGCATGAGTTCTATGAGGGGAGGATGACCTGCAGAAATCTATGTTTGAGAAAGATAACCTTGGTGAAATGGATAGGAGGGAGAATAAAGGTGGATCACATAGTTGGCATGTTGTTTTAGAAGACTTCTTCCATGTACATGCACTTTAACAATTTTGTTTATTTGTCTGTGCTGGGACTTCACTGCTGTGCCAACATTCCTCTAGTTGTGGGGAGTGGGGTCTGCTCTCCAGCTGCAGTGTGGGAGCGTCTCTTGTTGTGGAGCACAGACTCTGGGCACTTGGGCTTCTGCACTTGTGGCTCCTGGGGTCCAGAGCACAGGCTCAGTCGTGGTGCATGGGCTTAGTTGCTCACTGGCCGTGGGCTCTTCCTGGTCCAGGGATTGAACCCATGCCTCCTGCATTAGCAGATGGTTTCTTTACCACTGAGTCACCAGGGACGCCCTGCCATGCATTTTAGAATGGCTATTACGTACCAGAGTTGCAGTGAAAAATAATTGTCCTCACCTTACAAATGGTTAGCAGACGTTTGGTTCATGTCAAAAGAGCCATGATATTTGGTCCTGTCCAAAGTCATTTGGCATGGACCAAATACGCCCATGGACATTTTGGATAGGACCAAATTTCAAGAACCTGTTGGTGTAGACCAAAGGTCTTATTGCTGTTCTGGACAAGACCAAATATCCTGCAAAGGACAGGAGCATAGTAAGAGAGGTCTGATGCTGGAGAGTGTAAGGGTCAAGGAAACAAAGGGGTAATAAGACACTCTACAAAAATAAGACTCAGCATCCTTCCCAGCACACCATGCAATATCTTCAATGATCAACCTACACTGTGGCATCATTTCCCAGACTGTGTTAGTTAACAGCAAAATCGCATAACTTCAGGTTCTCCATACATGCCTTATGCTCTCCTGCATCTTTTAATGCTATTTGCTCTACTTGGGATAGTCAAAGCTATGGTTTTTCCGGTAGTCACGTATGGATGTGAGAGCTGGACCATAAAGAAAGCTGAGCACTGCAGAATTGCTGCTTTTGAACTGTGGTGTTGGAGAAGACTCTTGAGGGTCCCTTGGACTGCAAGGAGATCCAACCAGTCCATCCTAAAGGAAATCAGTCCTGAATATTCATTGGAAGGACTGATGCTGAAGCTGAAACTCCAGTAGTTTGGCCACCTGATGTGAAGAACTGACTCCTTGGCAAAGATCTTGATGCTGGGAAAGATTGAGGGCAGGAGGAGATGGGGACGACAGAGGATGAGATGGTTGGATGGCATCACTGACTCGATGGACATGAGTTTGAGTAAGCTCCAGGAGTTGGTGATGGACAAGGAGGCCTGGCGTGCTGCGATTCATGGGGTCGCAAATACTGAGTGACTGAACTTACTGACTGACTACTTGGGATGCCAGACTCTTCCTTCTTCCATCTTCATATCTAGCTTTTTCTAGTTTAACTATCTATGATGATTTTCACTATTGGAGCTGAAAACAGATCCTAACTGATGAGTTTATTAGACAGTTCTGATACAGACATTACAGGATTCCCTGAGGTCAGAATATTTTTATGTATAGCAGAATATGAATATCCTTTGGTTATTTGTGAATGCTCATGGGAAACACATGATTTGGAAGGCTCATGAGACTGAGGATTGATAATGTAGCAACATTGTTCTTGAATTAGTAGTTTTCATCATGATGGTTTTAGACATTGGGACTTTTGCAACTTGAACACATTATTCATTTTAGGTTCTATTTGCCCTGAGTATATTTAATTAAAAAGCCTATAAATCTTTATTATTCAGGTGATACTCAGTATTTATAAAACATCCATTTTAATTTTTCTATTTTAGAAGTAGAAAAGAGTACAAAGAAGAAAATTAAAAGCACAATATCATATCCTGGAGATAGTTCTTTCATGCATTTTGATGTATTTTCTTTTTCTTTTGTTTTATTAAGCACAGTTTTCAATTTGAGTATATTTTCAAATAGATTTTGCTCTCATTTTGAAGGTAAAACCTAATCTGGGTTTCATCCTTCCTAGCAAACACCAGGTTTTCTTTTACTTGCTTATAATGAGCAGATCTTGTGATCCCTTTCAGCTTTAAATTCAAACCATAAGTATGTAAAATTTTGTAAATCGTGGAGCTCAGGAGAACACCCTCACTAAATCCTTGTTGTCCCTAGAGTACTAACTCACTTAGAGATGGTTTATTTTACCATTTAAGTTGTAGTTAGCTTTAAGGGACTACAGTTGTAGTTAATAAAATAAAAATCAAGCCATTTTTTTCTCTAAAGAAAAGCAAAAGGTTCATTATCTTGCAGACCATGTATGTGCCAACGGCCCAAGATTAAAAGATTCAGATTATTAAAGATTAAATTGTTTGTTTCATCATAAAACAGAGTCAACCACCATGATCTGTATTAATCAAGGGGAAAAGAAGCATAGATAATCGGAAACAGGATGCGATACAAGACTTAAAAATGCTTTCAGTGGAATAGGTTTTTGCTAACCTGTTTTTTGCTTGTTTGTTAGGATTGATGTCACTATTACTATTGATGAAAGTTTTCCGGAGCTAGCAGTAGTGTACATTTCTTGACATCAGGGGGTGTCCAAAGGGCATAGAATTTTTGAGCAAGGCTGAAGTTGAAGTTTGCTTATGGCCTCAGTCCAAACGCCTATCAAGTTTTAGATTAGTCTGCTTTCATTGTGAGGCATCCCTTCCTCCTGGAAGCTAAATCCTTCTCAGGTTATTAACTCGATAAGCAGAGGGCAGGGTGCAGAGTGAGAGCTTGGGTTTCCCTCGAATCAGTAGGCACTAGGGTGTTTGCTGATGCCTCTGTCACTAAATCAGTTTAGTTCCACATTTTTCCATTCTCTCATTTCTATTTTTTGAGGCTGAAATTGGTGTTTTTCATTTTCTCTTTAATTCTGCATGTTTGATAGAAGCTTTCAAAGTCATGACCAGGATACTTGAGTATAGGAGAACAATGATGGTCAGAAAACCTAGTGAGGAAGAATTTGGAATAGGATGTATACCTTTCCTTCTGGAAGGCGCTCTAGTTGCCAGAGGGAAACCGTTACCTGCTTTGTTGGTTTGATGACGACTGTTTTCCCCTTTTCTCTGATTCACGTTCTTGCTTGGTCTCCAGTGTGTAAAGCTGCCAAAGCTGACCTGGTGTTTATGGTGGATGGGTCCTGGAGTATTGGTGATGAAAACTTCAATAAGATCATTAACTTCCTATACAGCACTGTTGGAGCCCTGGGCAAGATCGGCGCAGATGGAACTCAAGTAAGGCTGATGGATCAGTCATTAATTCATTCTATGCAATAAGTAATTATTCCAGGCTATTGTTATGGCTACTTGTCGGGGAATATGGGTAAAGAACTATACTGCTTTGACCCAACTCTCAATGAGAGACTGGACAGGTCCGAGCTTGAAACCTCTCACTGCTGCCTGACAGCGCTGGGCAGCGTGCTGTCCTTAGAGTGAGTGAGTCCAGCAAACCGGGACGTCAGCATGTGCGTCTCCTGCACACTGGGGTAGAGGAGGCACAAATCTCTGTTCAGTATTCTCCTTGCCCTGAGGACTTTAAAATCTTGAAGGACAGAGGTCAAGGCCACAGATGAGTGTAGAACAAGCAGAACATAGAAGACTAATTTATTCATTCGACAAACATTTGTTGAGGGCTTATTGGGTTAGTACTGTCGTCATGGGTGCTTCATGGAGCTCACATCCTTAACGGCGAGGGGTGGAGGAGGGTGAGATCCAGACACAAATCGGCAAACACACACATTCACAAGGTCGGGACACACACTTGTGAACTGAGCTTTACATTTACTGGTTTACTTTAAATTGAGAGATCGACGAAGGCTTCTTTGAGGAGGTGGCTTTCGAACTGAGGTGTGAGCATCTGATCCCTTTTCCCGACCCAGGGGTCGAACCTGGGTCTCCCCTACTGCAGGCAGATTCTTTATCGTCTGAGCTACCAGGGAAGCCCAAGAACGCTGGAGTGGGTTGCCATGCCCACCTCCAGGGGTTCTTCCCTACCCAGGGATCGAACTCGCGTCTCTTACATACCCTGCATTGACAGGGAGATTCTTTATCACTAGCGCCACCCGGGAAGCATTTATATCATAGTGATTAGGGACAGATTTTGAAGTCGAATTACCTGACTTCCACTGTTGGTTCTACCAGGGACCACTCTAGTAATCTTGGATGAGTTACTTGACTTTTCCTCAGTGTCCTGATCTGTAAAAAGGTGGAATAGTAGTAATTATTTCATAAGCTTGTTTCATAAAAAAAATCCTTGTAAAGAATCCAACTTTGATTCTGTGAACTTTATCAAGGTAGAAGACTTAGGCTGCCATTTTTCCACCTGTCAAATGAGATGGCAAAAGGCCTTCATGCTTTAGGGAGAGATTTTTAATCTACTTCCTGAAAGCACTTAGAGAAAAAAATGCTTGTTAATGTATCATCAGATTTGGTATGTAGCTTGTGTGAAATTTTAAACCAAGGAAATTGTGGACTGGGTTAAAGAAGAAATTAAAACTATAATTATAATCCTGTTATAGTGTATGCTGTCTGGCCCAGGGGAAGGCTGCGATATACATAAAAGTAAACACACCTTCTCTCTTCAGGTTGCCATGGTTCAGTTCACTGATGACCCCAGGACGGAATTTAAACTAAACTCTTACAAAACCAAAGAGACTCTTCTTGATGCAATTAAGCATATCTCATACAAAGGGGGAAATACAAAAACAGGTGAGACCCCCAAAAGCCCAGCTAAAACCCAAAGTAATTAATTATTGCTAATTATTTAAATGACTTTTTTTGAAGCATACGCATATAGATTTTTTTTTTTTAAAGACTTTTCTTTAAAAGTCTTTTAAAAGACTTTTAAAGACTTTTCACTGATGAAAGAGCTTTGTTCCTTCTGTTCCATCTCCAGCGACACAAAAGTGGAAGGGAATGAAACTGAACTGTTGCCTTCTTTTGTTTCAGGAAAAGCAATTAAGCATGTCCGAGATAGCTTGTTTACTGCAGAGTCAGGGACCAGAAGAGGCATCCCCAAGGTCATCGTGGTTATAACTGATGGAAGATCACAAGATGATGTGAACAAAATCTCCAGAGAGATGCAATCAGACGGTAAGTTTTACAGAGATAAGTAATAGTAGCTACCAAGGTTTCCTTAGTGGCTGAGTGGTAAAGAATCTGCGTGCCCATCCAAAGATCTGGGTTCAACCCCTGAGTTGGGAAGTTCCCCTGGAGAAGGAAATGCAAACTACGTCAGTGCTCCTTCCCTAGGAGAGCTCCTGGACTGAGGAGCCTGGGGACCGCAGTCCGTGGGGTCGCGAAAGCGTCCACACGACTTAAGACTCAACAGCAACAGCAGTGGCACCAGTAACACTGTTAGCCTTGCTGTTTTCTGAATGCACACTTACAGGCTACATCAGCGGGACTGCATGTTTCTGAATCTGGACAGTGTGATTTTAAGAATATTTTCCAGGTTACAAATTTGTTATCTTGCTGATTTTCCCTAATACGTTTGTTACATACAGGATTCTCTATCATGAGAAGCTCCATCAGTTAAGTGCAGCCCAGGACTTCACTGGCAGTCTAGTGGTTAAGGCTCTATGCTTCCACTGCAGGGAACACAGGTTCCATTCTGGCCGCAGAGCGTGGCCCAAGAAAAGAAAAAAGAAAGACAATTAAGTGCCATACTATGAAAAGAACCAGGGGAGGGAACCCGGTCACAGAAACTGTTCAGCCTCAGCTTTCTCTTCTGTCAAATGGAGAACACAAAATGTGAGGATTACACTGTGTAAACCGACATGGCACAGACTAGCCTGATACGAATTTGTCGAGCATTGAACTGTGACCTACCTCAGGCTTCTAAGCCTGTTAATGTCTCAGTTTCTACTTCTGAAAAAAAAAATGAGATAAAGCTTCTGTTTCAACTGCACTTTATCCCGTAAATACAAAAATCATTATTAATAATGTGCAAACATAGAGATGTTACTCAAATAGTAACTATTTTGTCTCAAGCACTGGCTCTCTTAAGCCTCTCTAAAACGGAGAAGCTCTTTGGGGAATGATGGGTTAATTAGCGTATGGTGAATTATGTGCATGCAGATTTCTGATGAACTGTGAAGGGTGAATTATCAATCCCCACTGGGCCTCCTAAATAAACATATTTTAAACATGCAGACATGTCTTGCATTCCATTATTTGTTTTTGGTGCAGTTTATACTCATCAGAATCTGTTTCCCTTTCCCCACAGGCTACAGCATTTTTGCGGTCGGCGTGGCCGATGCGGATTACTCGGAGCTGGTTAGCATTGGCAGTAAGCCCAGTGCCCGGCACGTCTTCTTTGTGGATGACTTCGACGCCTTTAAGAAAATTGAAGATGAGCTGATTACTTTTGTCTGCGAAACTGCATCAGCAAGTTAGTTCTTTGGAATTTGCCCCTTACATTGCTTAAAGGCTGAGATATTTATCCTGGTTAAATGAAGAGTCCCATCCTGATCTGAAAGGAAAATGGAGAGCTGTTTGTTATTGTAGACATAGTTTTGTGGTTTAAAGCATTTAGAAGTGACCCTCCACTCTCCCAGGTTCAGAATTTAGGTTGATAAAGACTTTCTCTGAAAAGATGAGAATCTGTATTTGAAAGAAACTCTCTTAAACATCTGCGGCAGACAGTTTTCAAAAATGTGTTACGTCTGCTCATCAGGGTAACACGCTGGGAGGGAGACATTTCCCAATACATGTTCTCAAGCGGCCACCTTCGATTCTTCTAACGGACCCAGGAGAGGAGGAGGGGGCTGGGACTCGGGCTTCAACAGGGGAAGCGAGAGCGTTCCAGTCTTTAGGGATCCACAAAAGGCCATAGCCACATCTGGTTTGGATTCCTTCTGCACTTGACTTCCATAAAGATTATGTTAGCTTCCTGTTTTCAGGACAAGGGAAGAATATGTTTGGAAAATATCTAAATTAGGGTTTTATCTTCTTTGTTTTGTTCTCCAGCCTGCCCACTGGTGCATAAGGATGGCATTGATCTTGCAGGTATGCAGTATCCGGAATTTTCCAATTATTAATTAACTCCCTTTTGGGGTCCAGATTTTTTTAATCCTTAATAGATTAATTGTGAAATTTAAAATCCTAATGTGCCTATTCTCTCTCTCTCTCTTTAAGGATTTAAGATGATGGAAATGTTTGGTTTGGTTGAAAAGGAGTTTTCGTCAGTGGAAGGGGTCTCTATGGAGCCTGGTACCTTCAATGTGTATCCTTGCTTTCAACTTCATAAAGATGCCCTGGTTTCGCAGCCAACCAAGTATGTTTCCATTGCAAGATACTAAAGCCAATTATTGTTTATTATATCTCAATGTGTAAATGATATCAACTTGAAATCATAATTTCAATGATAATTCCCAGCAGGATTTTCCATGATGGATAGAGAAGACAATGTTTAGATTTCTTTAAAAACATCAGACTCAAAAAAAAAAAAAAAAAAAATCAGACTCACGTATAAGGCTGGTTGAACTTTCCTATCTGTTGACCTGAGAAAAATATAGATAGTTAATACTTGCATAGCACTGCCATGTACCAGGCGTCTAAATGCTTATGTACCATAGCTCCCTTACACCTCCCAACACCTCTATGAGGTAGAGTCATTGGTTATCTTGATTTGACAAGTAGTGAAACTAAAGCACAAAGACACTAAATGACCTGAGTGAGATCGTGTAGTTTGTTGAGGATCATGCCGGGATTTGTACCTGGCAATCAGGCCCTGGAATGCACAACCTGAACCATTTTACTTACTCTAGAGGCATGAGTTCAGAGGGGTTTTATCCTTGAGAAGTCACAAAAGCCACTCTATATAGTTGACGTAAAAATCACATTATCTAGTCATTGCACAGTCTGTGATGAACAGAGGGATTCCTATGGTCATTTTCAGCAGTTCTGCAAACTCCAGACGTACTTGAGTTTCAGTTCAGTTCAGTCACTCAGTCATGTCCAACTCTTTGCGATCCCATGAACCGCAGCATGCCAGGCCTCCCTGTCCATCACCAACTCCCCGAGTTTACTCAGACTCATGTCCATTGAGTTGGTGATGCCATTCAACCGTCTCATCCTCTGTCGTCCCCTTCTCCTCCTGCTTTATATCTTTCTCAGCATCGGGATCTTTTCAAATGAGTCAGTTCTTCGCATCAGCTGGATAAATTATTGGAGTTTCAGCTTCAGCATTGGTCCTTCCAGTAAACACCCAGGACTAATCTCCTTTAGGATGGACTGGTTGAATCTCCTTGCAGTCCAAGGGACTCTCAAGAGTCAGTCTTCTCCAACACCAAAGTTCAAAAGCATCAATTCTTCGGTGCTCAATTTTTTTTTTTTCAATTTTTTTTATAGTCCGACTTTCACATCCAAAGTAGGAATTCCTGGTTTAAGGGGTCATCTGTCAAGACATCATCTGCTTCTTTACATTTCAAATCAATATTTGTTTTTGTCTCAAAATACCTTCAGTGTTTTAATATGAAACATTTTTCCTGTCCATATTTTGATATTTTGATATAGTGTGCATGTGAAGTGAAGTCGCTCAGTCATGTCTGACTCTTTGTGGCCCCATGGACTGTAGCCCACCAGGCTCCTCCGTCCATGGGATTCTCCAGGCAAGAATACTGGAGTGGGTTGCCATTTCTTTCTCCAGGGCATCTTCCCAACCCAGGGATCAAACCCAGGTCTCCCACATTGCAGGCAGACGCTTTCACCTCTGAGCCACTAGGGGAGCCCTATAGTGTGTATATAGGCATGCAAAAGTGGGGGGAGATGAGATTCAAGAATTAAATCCATCAGTCCAATTTATAGACCAGTTGCTTTTCTAGCTTCTTCCATAATATTCTTTGTTGAATTCAGGCCTATTGCAGTACTATATGTGGTTTTAGATAAATCTAACATCTAAACATTACCTTTCAGCAGATTTTATTTTTTACATTGTCTAGGGATGAATATTAAATAGGTATTTGAAAATCATTCCTGGAGGCCTGGCCCAAAATGAGAATTTCCAGAGGGAAACTCGCCTACTGCTCTGCCAGACTGTTCATTCAGCCGGCAGTGTCCCGTCCTCCGCCTTGCTAAGTCCAGTCCTGGTTCCCAGCTCCCACCTCGCTCCGTCTTCCCCAGCATTCGACAGAGCTGAGCTCGCCTCCTCCTGGACCTCCTGCCCTCCTTGAGCTTCTGTTTACCTTACAGACTGTCCGTCTCCAGTGCTGGCTCCTCTTCCCTCTCCACTTCTTGAGGCCGGGGGGACCAGGACTTGTGTATGACCTGCTTGTTTTTTCTGTCTATCCCTATTTCCTAGCGATCTTTTCAGTATCATAGTGTTGAACCCTGAATACATGCCAAGGACTCCTAAATTTGTATTTACAAATTGCCCCCCAATTTTTTTTGGCGACACTGTGCAGTATGTGGGATCTTAGTTCCCTGACCAGGTATTGAACCCACTCCCGCTGCAGTGGAAGCTCGGAATCTTAACCACCAGACCACCAGGGAAGTCCCTACTTACCCAAATTTAGACCTATATATTCAATTGCTTCCCAGGTGGTGTTAGTGGTAAAGAACCTGCCTGCCAATGCAGGAGACCTAAGAGATGTGGGTTCGATCCCTGGGTTTAGAAGATCCCCTGGAGGTGGACATGGCAGCCCACTCCAGTGTTCTTGCTTGGAGAGTCCCATGGACAGAGGAGCCTGGTGGGCTACAGTCCATGGGGTGGCAAAGAGTCAGACACGACTAAAGTGAGTTAGCATGCTTGCAGTTGCTTACTAGACAACATCCCTGCTCCTCTCTCCAGAGCCAGCCTCACCTACAGCCTTTTCTGTCTCAATGACGACTACACCTAACGAGTTTCTTAGGCAGAGAAGCCAGACTGCTCCTCTTCTCTTAGGCCTCACATCCGTCCACCAAGCCGTCCTCTTGAGCGTTGGTCCTCAGTGCCTGCATCGTCACCGCCCTGGTACGAGCCACCGTCACCGTTTCTTCCCTCCATCATCGCTGCGGCCTCCTGTCTTCCCCCTGCTGCCCTCACCTTCCTAGAGTCTCTTCTCCAAACAGCACTCGGGGTGATGGTTTATAAATGTTTACATCAGACCATGTCACTCCAGAACCTGCCAGTGATTCCCCACTCCCTTTGGAGTAAACGTCAGAGCTCCTGAATGGCCAGAGGGCCCTACAGTATCTGGATCGCCGTGACCTCTTTGACGTCACCTCTTGTCTCTTGGTCTGTTCTCAAGAACTACCAAACACATCCCACTTTAGTATCTTTGCGCTGGCCGGATGTCTTCATCTCCTATGAGTTTTCCTTCAGATGTAAGCTTCTCAGTGAAATTTTGTTGTTTAGTCGTTGTGTCCGACTCTTTGCGGCAGGTTTGGTGAGGCTGGCTGACTCACACACAGGCGCTCTGAGAAGGGCGCGTCTCCTTTGGAGTCAGAGGCTCTGGCCCCTCTCTCCGCTCAGAGAGCAGTCCTTGAAAAGAGGTGCCATGAAAAAGTCGGCATGGTCTTGAGAGAGGCATCTCTCATCCATGAAGAGACTCCTGAGAGAGCCGGCACTCACCGGCAGAGTCGACACGGCACTCACCCCCAGAAGCAGGAGCGATGTGTAGACAGCACTGGATGTGGCGGATCGAGATAGTGCCTCAGCGCACAGCAGATGGGAATGCTCCCAACTGCAGCGTGTGGCAGAAAGGGGCAAGGTCTCAAGTTTCATAAAAAGACCGTGTGTGATTGCTGAGTCACGTCTGACTCTTTGCAACCCCGTGGACTGCAGCCTGCCAGGCTCCTCTGTCCATGGGATTCTCCAGGCAAGAACCCTGGAGGGGGTTGCCATGCCCTCCTCCAGGGAATCTTCCCAACCTAGGGACTGAACCCGGTCTCCTGAATTGCAGGTGGATTCTTTACTGTCTGAGACACCGGGAAAGCCCCCCACCCCCCAAAAAAAACACTGTAGATAAACATTATTTATAGTACTACAACTTGAAATTACTTGTTTAATAAGAAGTGACTGGTCAGATAAATTATGGAATAGCCAAACCAGCGAAGGTTGTGCAAATATTAACTATCATGCTCTTTAAAATATTTAAGGAAATATGGAATGTGTAGTAAATGATGCCAAGAAAAGAAAGGGGCAAAATTATATAAACTTACAAATACTTACAGACATTCTTTAAAGACAGGAGGGAAATGCATGACCCCAAAAGAAGGATCCCTTCTGAGTGTGGTTAATGGTGATGTTTATTTCCTCTGTTTCTTCACTTCTAGTGAAAGCGTACTTACTTTTATAATCATATAAATAGCTTCTTGAAGAGTGATACAATAAAATATATTATTTTCTTTCCATTTTTCAGATACTTGCATCCGGACGGATTGCCCTCTGACTATACAATCAGTATTCTATTCCGGATTCTTCCTGATACTCCAGAGGAACCCTTTGCTCTTTGGGAGATTTTAAATAAAAATTCTGACCCATTGGTTGGAGTCATTTTAGATAGTAAGTATATTTATTTGTAAAACGTTTGCACACGTATATGAGTAATGTACGTCATGTGTCATCTTGCCAGTTTAGTATGTATTATGGAGTAACTCACACATTTTAAACCATTGGTAAATACTAATAATGAACTATGTTGACAGTTGAGTTATTCATTTGTCTACTCAGGGCTTCAACAAATATTCACTGAGGTCCTACTGTGTGCCAACACCAGGTTCTGGGATTCAGAAGCGAGGCAAAGAGAGACACATCCTGCGATGGGAAGACTGTAGAGAGGGCGTGGCTGGTGCCAGGAGGATCAGTGGAGGGCTGGGGTCAGAGGTCACTTCTTCTATGAGGAAATGATAAGTGTCGGATGCTTCTTTTGGGTTCCTCAACCCAATTCCGACATACGAGCTGGGGCCTGGGGAGTGTCGGGAGGCTTCTCACACAACACCAGGCAGTTCTTGGACAGCAGCAGTGTATCTGAGAATTCAGCTTGAGTCAGACACTGTTTTCCCAGAGCTGTTCTTGGACCCGCAAGCTGAGGATGGTTCCTACACGATGGCCTTCCCCCTCCTGGTTCAGCAGGTGGCAGGCTCAGTCCATTCCTGCAGGCTCAACCCGTCACTGCAGGCTCGGTCTGTTACTGCAGGCTCAGTCCATCCCTGGAGGCTCAGTCTGTCACTGCAGGCTCGGTCCGTCCCTGGAGGCTCGGTCTGTCACTGGAGGCTCAGTCCGTCCCTGGAGGCTTGGTCTGTCACTGCAGGCTCAGTCCGTCCCTGGAGGCTCGGTCTGTCACTGGCTCCACTGGAGGTTCCGGCAGCCACCTCCAGCCCAGGATGCCACTTGTACGTCCAGGTTGGTTTCTCTACTTGTGACCCACAGTCTGTAAATCAGAGGGTCCCACAGATTCCTCCTCAGGTTTTAATAATTTGATAAAGTGGCTCACAGAACTCAGAGAAGCATTTTACCTACAGCACTGGATTACCAAAGAAGGGGAAAAGAAAGTGAAAACGAAGTCACTCAGTCGTGTCCGACTCTTTGTGACCCCATGGACTGTAGCTTCTGAGGTTCCTCCATCCATGGAATTTTCCAGGCAGGAGTACTGGGGTGGGTTGCCGTTTCCTTCTCCATTTTACCTGCAGCGCTAGGTTACCAGCGCATAATAAAAAGCTATAACTCAGGAACGATGGGAGAGAAGCTGGAGCAAGGCCTAGGGAGGGGTGGGGGGTTTCCAGGTCCATCCTGCCCCACCCTCCCAGCACTTCCTGTGGTCACCAACCCGAATCTCTCTGGACCCCATCCTTCTGGGTTTTTGTGGAGGCTTCATTACACAGGAAAGATTAATTAAGTCACTGGCCATTGGCAGTTGAACTCTGTCTCCAACGCCTCTCCCCTCCGTAGAAGTTGAGTTGGGAGCATGGGGTTTGGACTGAGAGTTCTAACCCTCTCAGCATAGGACTGGTTTTCCAGGCAACCAGCCCACATCTTTAGGTGACCTGAGGGCTTTCCAAAAGCTGCCTTATTAACATAACAAAGGCACATGTATTGCTCTCACCACAGGAAATACCAAGGGTTTCAGGAGCTGTGAGCTGGGACCATAGACAAAGACCTAGTATATATGAGAAATATATTTTGGTCATCTGAATAGCAAATATTTCTTTTAAGTCACAATGTTGCAGTGCCTCTCTGCTATCAGAGAAAAAAATGTCAGGTTGGCAAGCAGTATGTTTGGGGAAGAATTCTGGGATGGAGATATACATTTGAAAATGGTAGTGTGAAATTTAAGCCCCAATACTGGATCAGAGCATCATAAGAGGAGTCTAGAAAGGAGAGAGAATAGTTGTGAAGAATGAGAAATTCCATTGTTGGGAAGTTGGAAAGTTGAGGCGGAAACAATGAAGGAAACTTTCTTAGCCTTTGTTCTTGGGAGTCACAAATGATGATCACTTAAGAGAATTCTCAAGTTTTGGGTTAATGTCCCTGAGTTTTCTACATATATTTTTAGTGTAAGATTCCAGTCAAGCTGGGATCCAAAATTTGGTGGCTGTTATTAGGTACTGACTCAAACATTTGGATAAAGAAAGTATTTTAAACTTATTTCCAAGTAGTGTTTGTTAAAAGACTTTTTAGTACATGGAAATAAGTCAACAGCTAAACATTGAAACCATTTTGCTTTGATACGGAAACTAAGGGAAAGCTGTAGATTAAAAAGGTGTGAGCTGCTAACTATACACAACCAGGACTTGAAAACAAAGAAGTCTCTTGAAACGATTAATACTTGCTTCTTTTGGAAACCAAATGAAAAATTAAATTGTAACCTGGGACTGAATCAGTGAGAAAAATATTCTTTTTTTTTTTTTTTTTTTTTTTTTTTTTTTTTTTTTTTTTTTTTTTTTTTTTTTTTTTTTTTTTTTTTTTTTTTTTTTTTTTTTTTTTTTTTTTTTTTTTTTTTTTTTTTTTTTTTTTTTTTTTTTTTTTTTTTTTTTTTTTTTTTTTTTTTTTTTTTTTTTTTTTTTTTTTTTTTTTTTTTTTTTTTTTTTTTTTTTTTTTTTTTTTTTTTTTTTTTTTTTTTTTTTTTTTTTTTTTTTTTTTTTTTTTTTTTTTTTTTTTTTTTTTTTTTTTTTTTTTTTTTTTTTTTTTTTTTTTTTTTTTTTTTTTTTTTTTTTTTTTTTTTTTTTTTTTTTTTTTTTTTTTTTTTTTTTTTTTTTTTTTTTTTTTTTTTTTTTTTTTTTTTTTTTTTTTTTTTTTTTTTTTTTTTTTTTTTTTTTTTTTTTTTTTTTTTTTTTTTTTTTTTTTTTTTTTTTTTTTTTTTTTTTTTTTTTTTTTTTTTTTTTTTTTTTTTTTTTTTTTTTTTTTTTTTTTTTTTTTTTTTTTTTTTTTTTTTTTTTTTTTTTTTTTTTTTTTTTTTTTTTTTTTTTTTTTTTTTTTTTTTTTTTTTTTTTTTTTTTTTTTTTTTTTTTTTTTTTTTTTTTTTTTTTTTTTTTTTTTTTTTTTTTTTTTTTTTTTTTTTTTTTTTTTTTTTTTTTTTTTTTTTTTTTTTTTTTTTTTTTTTTTTTTTTTTTTTTTTTTTTTTTTTTTTTTTTTTTTTTTTTTTTTTTTTTTTTTTTTTTTTTTTTTTTTTTTTTTTTTTTTTTTTTTTTTTTTTTTTTTTTTTTTTTTTTTTTTTTTTTTTTTTTTTTTTTTTTTTTTTTTTTTTTTTTTTTTTTTTTTTTTTTTTTTTTTTTTTTTTTTTTTTTTTTTTTTTTTTTTTTTTTTTTTTTTTTTTTTTTTTTTTTTTTTTTTTTTTTTTTTTTTTTTTTTTTTTTTTTTTTTTTTTTTTTTTTTTTTTTTTTTTTTTTTTTTTTTTTTTTTTTTTTTTTTTTTTTTTTTTTTTTTTTTTTTTTTTTTTTTTTTTTTTTTTTTTTTTTTTTTTTTTTTTTTTTTTTTTTTTTTTTTTTTTTTTTTTTTTTTTTTTTTTTTTTTTTTTTTTTTTTTTTTTTTTTTTTTTTTTTTTTTTTTTTTTTTTTTTTTTTTTTTTTTTTTTTTTTTTTTTTTTTTTTTTTTTTTTTTTTTTTTTTTTTTTTTTTTTTTTTTTTTTTTTTTTTTTTTTTTTTTTTTTTTTTTTTTTTTTTTTTTTTTTTTTTTTTTTTTTTTTTTTTTTTTTTTTTTTTTTTTTTTTTTTTTTTTTTTTTTTTTTTTTTTTTTTTTTTTTTTTTTTTTTTTTTTTTTTTTTTTTTTTTTTTTTTTTTTTTTTTTTTTTTTTTTTTTTTTTTTTTTTTTTTTTTTTTTTTTTTTTTTTTTTTTTTTTTTTTTTTTTTTTTNCAAAAGCTTTTAAGTTTCATTAGGTCCCATTTGTTTATTTTTGCTTTTATTTCCAATATTCTGGGAGGTGGGTCATAGAGGATCAAAACACAGCCTCAGAACAAAGGTTATACTATTTAGAACTGACTTTTTAAAAAATTACCCATTTTAATACTTTGTAGAATATTTTTAATCTTTTATTTTGTTTGATTAGATGGTGGGAAAACCCTAACATATTTCAACTATGACTACAGTGGGGATTTTCAGACTGTTACTTTTGAAGGACCTGAAATTAGGAAAATTTTCTATGGAAGCTTTCACAAGGTGAGTAATGCCTTGTATGAGTATATATATATTCTTTATTCTTTTACTGCGGGCCAAGCAACAGAAAAGTATAAAAATAAAAGAAAAACATAGCGCTTTGGATCTCCTATAGTAAGAATTACCTGTGGGGCTTGTGAACTGTCCAGAGATTCTGATATGGTAGTTCTGGGATGGAATCCTAAAATGTATGTTTTTATCCAGTACCCCAGGAGATTTGATAGTATCAGCAAGAAGACATTTTCCACTGATCTTCTAGGTTCTTCTGGCTTGTCTAAGAATCAAATTATGAAACACAAACATGTAATAACATATAAACATGATGAAACCCAGGAAAACCGAGTAACTCACCAAAATAGCCAAAACCTTCCCTAAGTACCATCTTCAGCTAAAGACAAAAGAGGATTATGCAAGTAGTGGTTTGGGTTTGGACTTCAAAGGGAAGGAAGAAAATTCACATGGAGATGGAAAAGCAAATGTTTAGTAAATAAATGAGTCAATGGGACACAGATTCCCCTCCACACACACACCTAGCCATATTCTTTGCAGATATTGCTGGTAATAGCCCTGTTCTGGGAGTGGACCTTATGTCTAAATTCTTTTAGGCAGTTTAGGCATGAAGCTCAAAGTTTCTTTCTGAGTCTTTTGGACCTTGGTTATTTTCAACTTGAAATAATCTGCATTCTAAAGAAACATTTTGGGATGGCAAATTTTGGTCTCCTATCGTAGAAGTGGTCCAGGTTGATACTTTGAGGAACCATGTAGTGGAGGATAATGTATTACTAAGTAGATAGTTGTAAATTCCCTACATTATGTGTTATGTAGAAAGGATTGCTGGTCTACCTGGCCACCAATATAGTTAAAGTACCAGCAGCCAAATCATGTTAAAATATGTAGACAGATTGCACCGAGACAGCCCATCACTGCCATTGTATAAGTTGCCCTGAGGAAGAATTGTGTAAAACATGACGTTAGTTGTTCTTATTTTAACCTGGCACATGTGATAGAAATCTGTTCCTTCATATTTCACATCTATGAAACATTTCGTCTTGGTGATCACTGGAGTAGACAGGCTTCCTTCCAAAATTTACTGTTTCCTTTGTAGTGAATAATCCCACTGCTACCTGGGCTGTTAAAGAATGCAACACCAAGAGTGCCAGAAAGCAGAGCCTTTACTCAGCGGTGTTGCAAAAACCTTGCGTCTTAGCCACACCCTTCTTGTCCTGTCAAAGTCTTCATCTTGGTTTCTGTTTGCTGATGTAGAATGCGGTCAGATATGTCTAATCTACACAACTTTGCTGCGTTATGGGCTTTTGAATACCATCACTGTATAAGAACAATTGCATAACAAAATTCTCTCATTTTTGCATGAGAAAAGTTGCATAAAATATTTTTTTCTTGTTACTAGGACTGTACAACCACAAGTCTCTTAAAATAAGGTATCTTAGAAACACGTGAGATGCACATGATTTATTAGTTTATGGTTCAAAATAGTCCCATTAGCATTTCTTTGGAATTATTGTCATGTATTTATCATCTTCCTCTAGAGATGATTTTTCCTTGGTTAGATAGTCACAGAGTAGTCAAAAAATATTACAGAGGAAATGAAAAGCATGTGAGATTTCATTAGTATTTACAAAAAACCCATAGAGATGGTATCTGAATGTGGGATAGTCATGGAAGTGGTTTAAAGTAGAACCTTTCTTCTCAAGCAAAGTGCTTAAGTAGACAGAATTCCTTTTCTTCCCTTGCATATTTTTTGGTGATGAGTCATGCAGTTATGTGAATTTGTTTGATATTTTCTCCTGCTTCTTACCTTTTAAAACATTTTTACTTTCATCAGCTACATATTGTTGTCAGCAAGACTTTGGCCAAAGTGGTTATTGACTGCAAGCACGTGGGTGAGAAGGCAATAAACGCGTCATCTAATATCACATTGGACGGTGTTGAAGTCCTGGGGAGAATGGTTCGATCAAGAGGACCAAATGGAAACTCTGCACCAGTGAGTGGATAAATAAATGAATCTGTGTTGAGGAAAAAAATTCTCCTAAAATATAATAATGTATTTTCCAGGGAAAGAGCTTGGTAAGGGGATAGATGGAGGGAGTGATGGTGAATGATAGTTGATGAATGATAAGAAAATATATAACTAATGAATGGAGTTCAAGTGAATGAAATGAATTTATTTAAATGAATTAAAACACCAGCATTCAAAGCTCTTGCAATATGCTTCTGCTAGGGAATATGGGAGAATGCTCCAGAAATTAGACTAGTTTGTTTTCTAAATGAAAATTGTAATAGTAAAATATTTTAAAAATTCAAATAAAATACCGTGGCATAAATGGTTGGTTAATGAGAATCAAAACTGTGGATGAACCTCATTTATATGAGCAGATCCAAATCTGTATAAAACATGTTATTATTATACACGGGAAATTGACTTAAAGCTCTCATGTGGGTTAGATTTGGGCATTTTATAACTAGGTTCTTGCTATTGCTTATGTCAAGTTAACCCTTTTTATCATTAATAATAAGGGATAGTATTTTATCATTAATATTTAAATAACAAATCATTTTAAGATATATTTTTATCATATTTTTTTAATCATGGAGTTTAAGACCAAGAGACTTCGAATTGGCAAAGAAATCACATTCTTTTCAGTTAATGCCTACAAAAAGGAGCAGTGTGCACAAACTTTTAAGACCACACATTCACAGCTAATTAGCAACATTCTCTAATTTGAGTCATTCTATAATTAGAACCAATTAACCTAGAGGGAATTTTATTCTTGTAAGCAATTCCAAATATTCACATCTACACTTCTCTTCTGTGTAACAGAATAATCAAGTTAATTAAGATTCACTCTTATTGTGCTTTCAGAGACCTATAGAACTAGCCAGCTGTATGGAATTTTAGAAAGACCTGATGATTTTCAAAGTCTTTTAAAACTGAAATCACTTAGTATTAATACAAATGAAATCTTCTAGTATATCAAATAAATGAAAATGATTTGCAATATGCTTCAGACCCCATGGACTGTAGCCTGCCAGGCTCCTCTGTCCATGGGATTCTCCAGGCAAGGTTACAGGAGTGGGTAACCATTCCCTTCTCCAGGGCATCTTCCTGACCCAGGGATCTAACCCAGGTGTCCTGCATTGAAGGCAGTTTCTTTACTGAATAGAAACCATGTCACGGTCTTCATTTGTAATCACTACCTTTGACCTTACATCACAGTATCTAATAAAGTTGTATGAAGAGTCCTTTCTCAAGAAACACTTGTTAGAAATTAAATAGCCGTCTATCTGAATTTTTCTTAAAATAGTTCGCATATATCATATTCCACCTGTGGTATTGACAACAGTCCACCGATAGATATCACGCTGTCTCCTAATTATAGCTCATACTTTGCAATTGCAGTGTTAAAATTACAGTTACAAATTAATTGTATTTCAAATTACACTCTATGTAGTAATTTTACTCCAAAATATATGACCAATTAAATATTAAGGAATTTAGTTTGGAAAGCAAAAACAACTATAAGTTTAGGGTCTACCAGTAATAAATCTTTACTTTTGTTCATGAAAGAAGAGCAGTTAAACAGAGCACCCTCTGTGGTTAACATCCACCCAGTAGTAGACAAAAGGGAATTTATAGAAGTCAATCATTAAAGGGTTCTTTGTAGAGCTAGTAGGAAAAAAGTTGTGGCTTTTGCTAGAATAGAAGTCTACAAAGGATTACTAGATTTTCAGTCTACCCACTTATTGAGGAATTTGATTATGTTGGAATGGATGATATCAGATTAGATCTCAAGAATGTGACTGAAAGCTCACTTGGTTTTTTGGGTTATTATCAATTCTTGTTTCAGTGTAAGACAAGAGAGAAGCTTCAGTCTTCAGTTCTCAATTTAGAAATCACAGATTGCTAACATAATCTTGAAATACATGTGGACTCTAATACCCTGCAAAAGGGAATGTGCAATGCACAAGTTTTGGGTCATTCCAGAAGGAGTAATTATCATCTCAGAGAAGTTAGTAGTTTATAGGTCAGTATTCCCTGGCAAATTCAGCAATGAATTCAAAAATGCCAGATGATGGAATGATTCTAAATTCCCAGTTTTTAAAGAATATAGTCTTTTTATTATTTTTCAGTTTTTATTTTTTATTCACGTGTAGACAATTAACAATGCTGTGATAGTTTCAGGTGGACAGCAAAGGGCCCCAGTCATGCCTGTACACGTGACCCTCTCCCTCAAACCCCCTCCCATCCAGGCTGCCGCTAGCATTGAGCAGAGCTCCCTGAGCTCACAGTAGGCCCTTGTTGGTCGTGCATCTTAAATACAGCAGCATGTACGTGTCCACCCCAAACTCCCCAACCATCCCTTCCTGCCCTCTCCCCTCTCTGGCAACTGTAAATTTGTTCTGTAAGTCTGTGAGTCTGTTTCTCGGCTATAGTCTTTTTAAACCAAAGTTGAGTGGAGAAGAGATTAATGGATTTAGGGATATAGTAACTACTGTATTGATATTATTCATATTTGAAATAAAAACTTGTGTTTTTTACACGCAAGACTTCACCGGCAGCAAAAATTCTCTAGTGAGAGTAAGCTAATAAGCAGGCTGAATCTTAACTGGCAAAGCACACAGGGGAGGAGACGTACCAACTGGGCCTCTCCTTTCCAGTCGTCTTTGTCCTGAGAGGTTTCTTCTACTTTTTCTGATACCTAATGAAATTATCATGCTGCAGTCAGAGGTGAGTCAAGAAAAATTTTGAGCTTCTGGCATTGATCATGTTTCTTAGTATCTTTTCCCCACCTTTCAAATCTAACACCTAGATAATTATATTATTTGTTTAGTTCTCTGATGTGTAAATAAAAAAAATACAAGTTATGTTATAGAATTTTTATTAATTTTATTTTCTGAGTTAAAGTTTTAGTGTAGGAATCAAGAGAAGACAAGTCAATGATCCTAGAGAAACAAGTGTTTTCCAATCTCAAGGAAATGGTTGTGTTTTCACTCGATTGTATCTTTTAATCCTTAAAATGATGATAGTGATTAATACGTATTGCCTAATGTGGACTAGGCCCCTGGAGAAGGGAATGGCAATCCACTCCAGTATTCTTGCCTGGAGGATTCCATGGACAGAGGAAGCTGTCAGGACAGCTGCGGTCCATGGGGGTCACAAAGAGTCGGATACGACTGGCCGATAACACACATGCACGGACTAGGCGGTGTGAGGGTTTCTAGGATGTTCTTGTTTAATCCTCCAACAACCCTAGGAAAATATATCATCCGCATTTTATAGATGCAGAAACTGAGACTTGAATAAGAGGGAGAGACCCCCTTTCAAACATGGGGAGAGTGAGGTGTGAGATTGTGTTCGAGTTGCTTTCCATTCTGAGCTCTCTTCCGTTGGGCCGGACTGATTATGAGAAAACTGAAGGCGGAGGAAGGACTCTGGTCTGTGACAGCGACCATATGCCCTGTCTGTTCACTGGCAAGTTCAAAAACTTACCATTGTTTGAATTACAGCTTTGGAATAAATGTGATCAAAATGCACCCCCCCCCCCCAGCATCTCTGCACCTTAACATTGTAATTACTACCAACAATTGCAACGGATGTCCTTTCATCTCCTAATTGAATAGTGCCGTTATGGTTTCCCTTAAATTCAGTAAGTTGATTGAGAGTGAGTAAGAACACCCTGTTAAGTAGCTGACAAGTGGTAAGTGCTTAATAAATCTTGGTTTGAAGGTGGAGTCAGTAAAAGTTACACACCAAATTGAAAGCAGAAGATGGCTTGGGTCCCCAGGGCTCTTTCTCCTGTGTTCTCAGGGAATGTAAAGCTCTCTAAATATTTGTATAAGATCAGGTACAGCTTGACTTCAAATTATAAGCTTAAAAATGATATACTAGAAAAAAATCAGAAGATGAAATATGGTACTGAGTGGGAAGTCCCTTTTAATTTCCATTCACACAACACAGTGCCTCAACTGCCAAAAAATGTTTTAATCTTATTTTCATGCTAACATTTGACCCCAAATGACATGCCTTTTGTGCTATGCCCAGACAAAAATGTCCAATAATGAAAAATGAGCATTTGTAATTGTCTAAGTATTCCCTTGAAAGAGATTATAACAAGTGAAAGTGGGAGGGTCTTTTTCTTTTGCAGATTTTTTTTTTCATAATGCTGTTAGTTACGAAGGAAAAAAGTTGCAAAAGTCAAAAAGGGCTGCCTCTTAGACGCTTAAAGTATGGTTTATTTTGATCCACGCTGTCTTGAATATTTAGGTACTCAAATCTAAGATCTTTGATATATTATCTCTGTAATGTTTCCTGCATAATTTGTGTTAAGTGTGTGTTTAATTACTTCTGGAATAAAAGCCAGATTTTAAAAAATCAGTCCCCAGAAATGTGATTTGGAAAAGAAGTCTCCAAATAAAGGCTGAGGAATCTAAACTATTACGAATGCAAAACAATTATGAATAAATTTGTTGTACTCACACAAAAAAGGCTTCTGACTTCATCTAACTTGAAAAAGAAAAGCCAGCCCACAAGCGTTCTTCAGATGATGGTATTGGCCTCATTCAGCGCTTAGTAGGTATTCAACCTCTTGAATAAGTAAAATGAACTCATAAGAATCCCAATAACTCAAGAGGGCAAAAGAAGTTTAGCCAAAGGTTTGTATGGAGACATTGTCCTGTTATAGGTAATCGGGTGGTGAATGTTTATTTGAAAAACTTCAAGAAAGCCTGGTATATCCCAGGACTAGTGAAAGGCCTTGGCTTTAAATAAATCTTTTCATTCACTAAAATGTTTTCACACTGAGGGCTCTATTCAGAAATGGAAAATTTCTTAATGGATGAATGACTTACAGAATTAACTGAATCTAATGCTGTCATAATGGGACTCATTTAACAAAAGTCATTATAAAGTCAAATGGCATTGTAAAGTCAGGCTGGGGTATCTGCATTTAAACATTTTAAACATTTGAACACTAATCATCTGTTCACAAAATAAACCACAAGAAAATGAGGTGTGCTGTTCAGCTCTCAACAGGAATTCAGCTTTCAACATAGGCTTAAATTACTCAGGCTTTTTCATTCCAAGTCCTAATTTACAGAATGGGGTAGACATTACTATTATCAGACCTCCTAGTGGTGACTGAAAGATTAAATGATACAGGTGAAGTCCTTGGGATAGTGCCTGGCCCACAGCCAGGTTCTCAACAAATGTTTGCTGGTACTGTTGTTATTTGCTAAGATTTTTCTCAACCAAAACCTTAAACAGATACGATGATTGTGGACACAAACTAGTGTTATATTTCTGCTCTGAACATCGCATCGCTTTCATCCTTTTGATTTAACCATTTTGGCCTCTGTGTTATATACTCCTGCAGCTTACAGGTCAACTATAAAAGTTGCTTTAAAATAATGTTTATTTTGTATAACTGTATTTCAGGAGCTGTTCTAAATAGTTCCCTTTACGGGTTCATTTTGTTGTTACGGCTGCTATTATTGCTCTAATGAATAGCTGCTGTTACTCTGCTATTTTCACAGATAAGGGAAGCCGAGCCTCTGCCACGCTGGGCGGTTTGTTTAAAGTGGCTTGGTTTGGGAGTGGGCACACCCGGGCGGTCTCATTCCATTGCCTCCTAATCCCCCTGCTCCTTGAAACACCATTGCTGCTACTGTTGCTTAGGAAAATCAGCAGCCACGTTCTTTAAAAACGCTTTAATTTTAAAAACCTCATTTTTTTTGAACTTTTTGATTTGTATAGGAATGTAGCCAATTAACAATGTTGTGACGGTTTCATGTGGGCAGCAAGGGGCCTCAGCCAAACATAGACACGCGTCCCTTCTCCCCCAAAGCCCCGGCCCATCCCGGCCGCCGCACAGCACTGAGCAGGGTTCCCTGTGCTTACCGTGGGCCCCTGGTGGTTACATTTTAAACACAGCAGTGTGGACCGCCCATCCCGCACTCCCTCACTGTCCCTTCCCCCCATCCTTTCCCCAGGCAGCCATAGGTTTCTTCTCTGAGTCTGTGAGTCCACTTGTGTTTTGTAAGTTCGTTTGGATCATGTCTTTTTAGATTCCGAATCTAAAAGACGTCATACGGTGTTTCTGCTTCTCTGACTTACTTCACTTAGTATGACCATCCCTAGGTCCATCCATTACAAACTTAGTTTTTCAATGATCATAATTTAGTTGTGTGGTTACCCTGAACAGACTGAAATATCATGCCCTTTGAAAACAATTTTTTTTAATATGGAAAAAAAAGAGTGTACTTAGCCATGCACTTATTGCTTCCAATAATGCAGTGGTTTTATATTGAAAAAAGAAAGCGTGATGTCTTGATTTATGGATCTGCTTTCAACATTTGTGTTATTAATCTTGCAAAACCCACTTGGGAAAAGATGTTTGCAGCAAGGCGCAGTTCTTCCTGGGTGTGACGAGAGAAACACTGACTTCATTTTCTTTGCTGTCAGATGGGACAGACTCTTTCGTGATGCTGAAGGCACTGTGAGCAGCCTGTTTTCAGTCATACCAACTGCTTGAGTATTCTTATCTGCACCCAGGGGACCCTTGACAGGGATGAGAGAAAATGAGGCACCAAGAAGTTTCCAGTGTTTGCTGAAAATACCAGTTGCTGAAGGCATGCTGCAGATTATGTAAACCTAGGGACTGTCATACTAAGTCAGAGAAGCAGAAACATTATATGACGTCTCTTATAAGTGGAATGGAAAGAGACATCTTACAAATGAACTTACACAACAGGAACAGGCTCACAGACCTACAGAAGGAATGAAGAGGATTTCGCCCTCGGCCAGCTCTGTAACTGAGGACATTGTTAGATGGTGTACAGTTGATTTACAATGTCACGTCAGTTTCAGGCGTACAGCAAAGTGATTCAGTTGTAGACAGATTGATGTGTGCTGTCTGCTAAGTCGCTTCAGTCCTGTCCGCCTCTGCGACCCCAGAGACTGTAGCCCACCAGGCTCCTCTGTCCATGGCACTCTACAGGCAAGAAGACTGGCGTGGGATGCCATGCCCTCCTCCAGGGATCGTCCCCCGCCAGGGGTCGAGCCTGCGGTTCCTGTGTCTCCTATTCTTTTCCAGCTTGTTTCCGCTGTGGGATATTACCAGATCTGAACACAGCTCCCTGTGTTGCACAGTAGGTCCTTGTTGCCTACCCTTTTATACTGTGCATGTCTGTTAATCCCAGACTCCTGACTGATGCTGCATGTTCAGTCCCTCAGTCATGTCCGGCTCTTTGCGACCCTGTGGACTGTAGCCTGCCAAGTTCCTCTGTCCATAGGATTTCTCAGGCAAGAACACTGGAATGGGTTGCCATTTTCCTCCTCCAGGGGATCTCCAAACTCCTGATGACATGCAATATTTGAAAACAATGTAGGAAGAAATATAGTATTAGAAATGTTTAGGTCATGAAGCTAGTGTGAGCCTTTAATGACATTATAATGATGTTTCTAACTATTTCAAAATATACTTTAAGTTGTTGCCAACAAACATGAGTAGAACAAGGCTGTCTAAATATTTATGGCATGATCGATGGCTTGAATGAAAATGCACAGCACGGATCTCACAGTGCCATATGTGAGTCTGTCATGACACTCACCACGTTGTAAATAGTATTTATGTGTCAGTGTCTTACTCCCTGTAAATTCTTTGTGGGCAAAAAGCTGGTTTCGCTCATTTTTATATCCTAAAGCTCTATATGGTATCTGGCTTGCATTATGCACTAAAGAAGAAGTGGTCAAATGTATGCATGAATGATGGAAGTCAGAAATAATCCAACAAGCCTTCATGAATACCTACTACATGCCACTTTTTTTTTTGCCATGCTGCAAGGCATATGGGATCTTAGTTCCCCAACCAGGGATCAGACCTGTGGCCCCTGCAGTGGAAGCTCCACGTCTTAACCCTGGGCCCCCAGGGAAGTCCCTGCTTGTCACTCAGTATTATGGGGGCACGAAGATGAGTAAGAGGTGCCCTGTCTTCGAGGAGCACCCACTTTGGGGGGAAATATAAATAAGTGGACTGGATGGTGGGAGATGTGGTGTAAAAGATGTCTGGAGCCTGGTGGGTCACGGCGGCACTTGGCCTAACTGTGGCGGCCCGTAAGAGAGGATTTCAACAGAGGCTCTAAGCGTTTTTACGTGGTGATGGGAGGAAGAACTGGGAAGAGTAAGGCAGTTTGGATGATGGATGGAGTAACCAGTGACAGAAGTCTTAAATCACTGTGTATTTGAGGAATGACTTTTAACACTTATTCATCGTGATATTATGTTATAAACGTGTTGGCGTTCTACTATGGTAAAGGATCTGCTTGCAGCGCAGGAGAGCCAGGATCAAACCCTGGGTCGGGAAGATGCCCTGGAGAAGGGACGGCAACCCACTCCAGTATTCTTGCCTGGAGAATCCCAAGGACAGAGGGGCCTGGTGGGCTACAGTCCATGGGGTCACAAAGACTCAGACTCGACTGAGCGTCTAACAACACTACGTAATATATGCTGTGAAGTCATTATAAATTATAAACACAATACATCTTTTATTAAACATTGTATATATCTTTTATTGACCAACAATTTTCTTTTTAAATTGCAGTTCCAGTTACAGATGTTTGATATTGTTTGTTCCACATCATGGGCCAATAAAGACAAATGCTGTGAGCTTCCTGCCCTGGTAAGAATTCTTCTTTCACTATTTCTGTTCTTTGCTGAAATTTTCTAAAGTTACATTTAATTGCAGTGCTGAAAATGAAATGCCATCTCACAAAACTCATGTCACAGGTAATTCGTTATGATGATGATGATGATGAAAATTAAAAAGCACTTACGAAGGAGGTATATCTGGAATCAGCAGGATATACTGACATGCAGGGTGGGAACTGCCCGGCTACACGGGGCGCCACTTACATGGAGTCCAGATGTTCCCAAATTCCATGGTCCACGAATTCTTTGGTGTCGCAGTAATTTTTTTTTTATGGCACCTCAGAGGCAAAAGAACTATCTAATAATTCCATATATGAGGCCATTAGGTCCAAATGTCTTCATAAGTGTTTGTATCTTAAAAATTCTGCTGTATGAAACAACAATATATTAATATATAAATCACAATTTTTAAATGATATACTTATTTTTGAATAACCACAACTACTTACTAATGGGATGTGTGTGCCTATTGAGCATGCACAGTTTCTCAGATCTCGGAATCTGATTGGACATTACCACCCTCACTTCTTCCTTTTTTAAAAAGAATATTTATTATGTGTCTGTGCCAGGTCTTAGCTGCCGCACGGGGGGCCCAGCTCCCTGGTGAGGGGTCCGACTGGGCCCTGCACTGGGGCGCGGAGTCTCAGCCTCTGGACCAGCAGGGAAGGCCCACCTTCCCTTCCATTCCACGCTGATTTTCCCCATGGTATTGCTTTCCTTCATAGCAAGTGCTGATAAAACAGATTTACAAATTTTTTTTTTTTTTTGGTCTTTGGGGTCTTAGTTTCCCGACTAGGGCCATGGCCCCCTGCTGTGGAAATGTGGAATCTTAACCCCTGGACTTCAGGGAAGTCTCTTCTAGTGTTGAAATTGTGACCTATTATACCTTGAGGTTGGAGAAGGCAATGGCAACCCACTCCAGTACTCTTGCCTGGAAAATCCCATGGACGGAGGAGCCTGGTAGGCTGCAGTCTGTGGAGTCGCACAGAGTTGGACACGACTGAAGCGACTTAGCAGCACCATACCTTGAGCTAGCTGTGTATACAGAGTCCAATGGGTACTGAATTTTGCCGTTTCTCTTGATTTTTTTTTTAAAGCTCAGAGTGCTCCTGTGAATTTCCTGTAATGCCCTAGGCCTTCTTTCCACACAATCTGGGACCATAGTCATAATCTATTTTACTTAAGCAAAGCTGCTAGAAAAATAAACCTTTTTTCATTATAAATACCAAATGTAACTCACCAGGGTTGATGACTGTATATTTAAAAATGGATTGTTCATATCTAAGGATCTATAGAATCAGTGAGCTGAAATGTTGACCCTGTTATGTTTGGATGGGAGTCATGTCTTAAGAATTCAACCTGGAGCATGGTCAAGCATGGAGAAGACATCATCAAGTCTAAAAAATCTCCTTTTTTAAGACCTTACACCAGCTCACGTCATCTGCTGCAGGCCATCTATGCGTGGTGACTTTGAGGAGGAAGCAACTTTTTTTTTTATCAAAATAAGTTTCCATTAAACTATGGTGAGGAATGAAAGCAGAGACACTGTGATGCTGTGCATAAGGGCAGGTGGGATGGAGAATGTAAGGAAGCACCCAGAACCCTATCCTGCATCAAGCAGAGTGTGATCACCGTGTCTCCTAGGAAGATCCCTGCTGTCTCCGAGCTGTTCTTTCCCTTTCTGTCACTGAAGGTGTGCAAGTCCCATGGTAGAAAGACTCAGATGGAGACACAGTCAACAGCAGTGGCAAAACCATTACGCAGTCTCTGGTCACAGGAGGCCTGCTGTCAGCCTGCTTGGGGGGATCTTCCAGGATTCTTAAGTCTGTATTTCCTTCAAGCTGCCCAACATATCAAGCCAGGTAGATACGTTAGCAGGGTTTTCCTTTCCTGCAATGAGCTGAAACTTTTGACTGTTGTCCAACATTTGGAGAAAAGCATATAAAGGCTCTTTGCTCAGACTCTTTTGAATTTCTGTTGTGACTATTTCAGAGCCTGAAATTATTTTCAAGTTGACAGTTCAATTATCATCTGTCCTCTATTCAGCTCTAACCTTTCCCCAAGATCTTAGAAAACAAAGCTCACTTTATCCAAGGGGACTGATGAGCCCTTTCTAGTTTTTCATCCTGGGGCGGCCTTTTCTTGGCTGTTCCCCCGAATGGGATATTCATGGATCATTCAGTAGGTCTTAGGAGGTGCTCTGTCTTCCTTTACACCCCGGTAACTCATTCAGGCGTATTCAGTCTGACTTAAATAATCTATCTTGTGGTGTCACCTGGCACCAGAATTCTCCAAGAGGAAGTGACCTCTTATCCCAAAACTTTAGATAGGTGCTGTGAAGGTATTCTTACTTTTAGTCACAGAATGTGACCAGGAGTTAAAATTGTTGCAGGTGTATGTGTATGATGTGTTTAACCACCATTTTATTTTCTTTTGGTTCTTGGTTTTAGTGTGGATGCAGTTTCCTACAAGTTTTCTTTTATCCTTTGAAATTGAAAAAAGTGTTGTAACACTAAGGAAATTTTCAGGACCTTTAGTTCATAGAGTACCACTTAAATAGTAACCAGAATTTTGGGGTGGTTTTTTTTTTTTTTTGCCTCCACTTCTGCCTTTCTTGCTTCACCTGGATTCCCAAGCTGGTTTTGTCAACATCCTTTGATAACGATGATGATTAATGCCTTACTAGACACCCATTCATTGTTTCTTTAAAGAAAAGATTTTGTGGTCAGAAGGGAATATTCTCTGCCTTTCTAGACTAATGCTCACTGAAGAATTTTTTTTGAAGTGTCTCCAAATGTTTCCTTTGAGTCATAAAGTCGTTTTCATAGACCAGCTTGTTAATAGTCATGCTATTTCTTTTTCTCCGCAGAGGGATGAGGAGGCCTGCCCAGAGCTCCCGCACAGCTGCTCCTGTTCAGAAATCAACAAAGCGGCTCTGGGGCCAGCAGGCCCACCGGTCAGTCTTGCCTCATTTGACCTTAAATGTTATAGGATAGTTGTTACAAAGGTTACTAATTACCCCTGAATCATCCTACTGCTTCTTTTTTAATAGTGGATACTCCCCTGACAACATGGCCAAGTTCATGGCCATTCAGCTTGAGACTTGATTTCTTAGCAATTATGCAAGTAAAGATGACCTTGTGACTAAGTTCTGGCCAGGGAGAGAGAAGGTGTATGCACTCACCCTGGACGTTGCTCTTGAGTGAAAACCGAATGCCCTCCTTTGAGCACGTGGTAGTGGATTCACTGTGGCAAGCCATGCTGCTGGGCACAGCACAGCAATATGATACGATGGAGGCACCGAAGGTTTCACACTGCCTTTCGTGATAAAGCGACTCTACTACACTGGAACAGCTCAGATTTTAATCTAAGAATAATAAATCTCCTACCTTGCATAAATGTTAATAGTGACCTCCATAAAAACAGTCAGACAGCTTTCCAAACTAATAAACTGGGAGTGCAATTCTAGATTAACAGTTATTTCCTCTGAGCACTTTGTAGATGCTGTTACAATGTCTTATCACTTCCATTGTTGCTATAGAGAAGTCAGCTGTCGGTTGAATCAACTGTCATTTTTCTGTGAGAAAAATTTTCTCCCTTAGTTTCTTTTAAGATTCTTTTGTCATTAATGATCAGAAGTTTCACTACAGTATATTCTGATGCTACTATTTTGTAGTCTTGGAATATTGAGGGCTTTATGAATTTGAATACCAATGTTTCTCATACATTTTGGAGATTTCATAGTCATTTTCTTTTTAAATATTCCCTCTCTCTAATCATCTCTATTCTTCTGAAATGCCAACTAGATGTGTATTATACTTTCTAATTTTACTCTCTTTTTAACCTTTTTAACCTCTAATTTATTTTCTATTTGTGCTGCCAGGCTTTATTCTGTGTAATATCTTCAAAATTACTTTCTGATGTACTGTGTGTTTCAGTTCAGTTCAGTCGCTCAGTTGTGTCCGACTCTTTGCGACCCCATGAATAGCAGCATGCCAGGCCTCCCTGTCTATCATCAACTCCCAGAGTGTACCCAAACTCATGTCCATCGAGTTGGTGATGCCATCCAACCATCTCACCCTCTGTTGTCCCCTTCTCCTCCTGCCTCCAGTCCCTCCCAGCATCAGGGTCTTTTCTAATGAGTCAACTCTTTGCATGAGGTGGCCAAAATATTGGAGTTTCAGCTTCAACATCAGTCCTTCCAGTTAACACCTAGGACTTATTTCCTTTAGGATGGACTGGTTGGATCTCCCTGCAGTCCAAGGGACTCTCAAGAGTCTTCTCCAACACCACAGTTCAAAAGCATCAATTCTTCACTGCTCAGCTTTCTTTATAGTCCAACTCTCACATCCATACATGACCACTGGAAAAACCCTAGCCTTGACTAGATGGACCTTTGTTGACAAAGTAATGTCTCT